TTAATTTTTATTATTAGTGAGTGTACCATTCACTAAATGGCTGCTTTCCTTGAGCCAGCCCTCTGCTTCCTGCTTAGTAGTTCTGCACAGTGTTTTTGACTTAATTTTCCTCCCTCTCTTAATGCAGGTCTAGCACCCATTTCAGTTTTTCTGAAACTAACAGTCTCGTTATGAGCAAGTTGTTAAGCAGAAAAATCAAAGATTTTGAAATGCAACCATTAGAGGGAAAACCTACAAATATGTACAGTATATGAAATACAATAATCATAGCATGGGACTGTGACCATGAAAAATGTGAAAGTTACATCAAACATGATTTCAAGTTAAACATTACAATAATGACTATAGTGTAAATTATAATCAGTATTTTGCCTTCTTACAGCATCGGAATACTAAGACATGAGCTCCAAACTACATTGCTGCACATATACTTATGCCTGCTGGTGGATTGCCTACACTGATTGGACATTATTTGTCCCTTAATTAAAATGGTCTTAAATGTCTTCTAAAAGGTCAACTCTAGCCAAAATGTTTGTCATTTCTGGACATTAGACTATTGTATGTGTTCCTGTCTAAGCCATTTGTTCCCATTTCCAATATGATGGGCAAGAGCAAGAAAACTAAATTAGAAATAAATTTTCCCTGCTTCCTGTATTTGATGAATGTAGGATTGTATATACACTGAGCTCCTGAGAGCGACCCATTCTTTCACAAATGTTTGTAGAAGCAGTCTGCATGCCTAGGTGCTTGATTTTATATACCTGTGGCCATAGAGATGATCGGAACATCTGAATCCAATGATTTGGAGGGGTGTCCCAATACTTTTGGCAATGTAGTATGTACATATATATATATATCTAGATATATATATTACATAAACTATTATTTGTAAGTTACTGTTAATATAAATTACCTTTATATTTCAATACATTGCTGTTTTCTAAAACGGTAAAAAGTAACTTGAGACTTTAGAAACCATGGCAACAAAGAGGCATTCTGTGCACTATTTGTTTTGCAGAAATCAGGAATGTAATTTTCTGCGTATGTGATACGTGCACTGCTTTCTCAGAACCTTACAAAATTATTATGACATTACTACACACAAACTGAACATGTGATTAGGCCAATGTGAAACTCAGCAGTATGTAGGAAGTGATTAAAATCCACATGTCAGTTTTATTATTTCATTTATTTATAAACAGCTGCAGGTAGGGTGCAGCAATGGCATTTGTTAAAATCTTTGCAATGTACCTAACTGACCAGAAGAGCACAGTGCACAGCAGAGTTACACTTAAATTATATTAGTAACAGGTTTCCATAAAAAAAAGAAAGAAAAGAAACAGGGATTTCCCATAGAAAATAAAATTTGTCATGTCTTTCGAGCATAGTTCTCTAGAAATGTGAAACCCTACATGTGTTAATGAATAGGAAAAACGCAGAAGATAAAACTGAGGGCTCCTCTAGCTCGAGTAGCTGATTACCACTTTGACAAATGTGTCTCAGAAGATCTCTCTGGTGAATACAAATGTTAATGCTCACTGACACAGTACTAAATGCGTCTTGAACATTACATGCTGCGTCGGAGATGTCGTCAGCTTTTAAGAAAGTGTTATTTAGTTCTAACATTTGCCTCCACCAGAGAGCTCTCTTGTTTCTTTAAAATATCTATTCATTCAATGTTTGTTGCAAGGAAAGGGCTACAAGCTTGTGTTGTTTGTCAGGTCAAGGCTTAATATACAGTAGGATAAAATGCATTAAATGCATTTGTTCTTAGTTTCATATTGTGTATGAAAGTAAGAAAATCCTATTTTTTATTTTTAGATATATATATGTAGAAACCTTTTCACTGCACAACTCTACTGGATTTGATGTGCAAGCCTCCACCAGATTTTATCAGAATGACTAACCAAACTTCCATTATTGCTCCTGTTTGATATTTATAGAAAAGTAAATGCTCTTGCCTCCTACCAATACCTCAGTGCCAACCTTTGATTAACAGTATGCCCTTAAAATCAATGTCTGTGAAAGGCAGGGCATGACAGAGCTCCCAATTCTGGCTTAAAGTAAATGAAAAGGCTCAAGAGCGAGTTGAGTCATCCCTCTGCTGACAGCAAGGTTGAAATGAGAAGACACACAGTTAATATAATGACCACTGCTAATTAATTACGCTGCAAGCTACCAATGTATGGAAAAGGTGAGAAAACAGAAGCCCATGAATACCTATTCAGATAAACTGTTAAAATAACGCTCAAGGTAGAGTACAGTCACCAGCTCTCCAATCAGCTGACTCTTATTCATGGGCTTCTTCTGAACGCCGCACTTTTAATTAAGTGTGCTCTTAATTAGTATGTCTCCCTCATCAGAACCGCACATCTAATTTTTCAATTAAATCGCAAAGTCACAAATAAAGTTAATTAAAAGAAGCTTGCTTCTCATCAGCCTCTTGACCTATGCTGACCACAGACCTGTGTTTAAAGGATTAATGGTACCACAACAACTCTTATCAATTATTTAGACCGATGTACTGATCATATACAGTATATCCTCAACCTTGCTCTAAATAAATACAAGTTTTTTTCTTCTAACCATTTTAAATCTGAAATCTGGGCTAAACAAATATTGTCTGCATTTAAGAGGCATGTGTATTCTGTTTGTGTATTTCTTCCACATTTGTGCATTAATTCCTCATGATAGATTCCTGCGCTTTGCCTTTATGTAGTAAAGAGCAGTCACTGCTGCTCCCTATGCTTTTGCAGGGTGACATTTTTTCTTCTTAATGAACAACCATTTTAAATCTGAAATCTGGGCTAAACAAATATTGTCTGCATTTAAGAGGCATGTGTATTCTGTTTGTGTATTTCTTCCACATTTGTGCATTAATTCCTCATGATAGATTCCTGCGCTTTGACTTTATGTAGTAAAGAGCAGTCACTGCTGCTCGCTATGCTTTTGCAGAGTGACATGGTCTTGTTTCCGCCCCTTGTAGTTTTCTGAATGAAGCCTGCAGTGGCTGAACCAGCTGGATCCCACCCACCACTCTGGTCTCTGACAGACTATGTTGAGCACAGTGATAATGTCACTACTACTTCTACAAGGTAATATCTGGCTTTGTAAAGTCATTTGATGCTCACAATGTGGGTTATTATCTTTGAGTAATTGAGAAATTAAATTGATTGTGGCAAAAGTTCAGCTCTCCTTGTGGTTTCCCCAGATACTCTGGTGTCCACTGGCCTTCGGCGGTGGGCCATTATCATTCAGACACTTTGGATACTGAAATCCATAAAGTTCCATCCCATCCATAAAGTTTGCTGGCCCCAAAAACAAGCCTTTTTTTGTATTTTTTTACTGTTTTCATGATGTTTCTCTCAAAGCTTCTCTTCCTACTTTTTAAAATATGTTTAGCTGTGAGTTTTTATTAAACAAATGGCATGCACTACAAAGCTTTCATTTTCATATAGCATTTCTCAACCTTTCCCAGCTCCTAAAAGACTAGTGCACTGTTGTATGTAATATACTTAACTCTCAGCATTGCTATTTTTATTTTCACCAAGTTTAGTGGTGTAATCTTGATTTTGGGTTCTGTCTGGATGAGTACTACGGTATTAGAGGGATTGTCATGGGTGTTCAGTGAAAATTTTTCTTTTTCTTTCTCGTTTGACATCTCCCTATCGAAATACAACCCTCAGGCAAACATGCCCAGATCAGGTCACTATGTCGCTTTGAGGAAGGGACCCCCTTTGGCCCCAAAATGTTGGCTATTTTGACCTACGTGATGTTATTTGCAGTAAACAATATATTCTTTGCATTTTGGAGTGCTGGTGACCTATCTTCACATCTCTGGCTAGATTAGGGGACTCTTTTTTATTTCTATGAGTATGTTTAAGTAGAAAACAAATTCTTCAGATTAATTCCTGAATAGCAAAGTCATTGCATGGCTGAGATCTTGCAATGGCATCATATGTTTGTTCACATTGTAAACATTAACCTCCTTCTACCGCACCTTGAATGATCCAAAAGTTTAGGTTAGGCAATGACTGATGTGATCTTTTAGATTTGACCATAAATGCTGTTTAGGGTTTCTGGCACTTCATTAGATTACATCACAATTTTGTGGCCTGATTTGTTATGTAAGGACAGCCTTACTATTGGCTTAGAGAAATCCCTTAACTCGTATAACTGGTTTACTCCTATGCCTGTTCTTATATTAGAACAGTATGGTGCTCTCCGTGAGGTTTATGTTCAAATATTCTGCTAAACCTGTTTATAAATATGTTACTTGGTAATAAAATCTACTGTGTATTTCAAATGTGTGAATAACATTTTAAAGAAAAAAAGCTTTTACAAAAGTTCTCTGATTGAAATCTATTGCTTACAACTAACAAGACTAACAAGGAATATACGTCCACCTTGTTTTAGAAAATGAGGCTAATAGCTTTGAGAGTCTTGTTGAGTCACTTAAAAAATGGTCTAGTGAGTCTTGAATGGGATTTTTATGTATGGATTAACCTATGGATGACTGCTTGCCTTAGAGCATAACACATTTAGTATTCAAATTTCCACTGGTACAGCTCAATTAGTTGTAATGCCAATTATTTAAACATTGAAAGTTTGTTTCTTCTTTGACTGTGCATGTATATTAAAATGCACTATGCTACTGCCTTTATTGCTCCACTACCTGACGGTGCCTAAGACATGTATTTTAATGAAAATATTGCATTTTTGTTTTAAAGTTGCAGCTAGGACATTATGATGCAAATTAATGCTTCCTAATTTATACTCTGGATTTTTCACTCAGTGTAGTCGCAGCACATTTTAGACACATTTTATACAGGCCGTCATTCATCCCTATGGATGATGTGTTTTACTGGAAGCCGCACCAAAGATGCAGCAAGCTTGATTTTTTTAATGCATTGCACCAAATGCAGAGGTATGAATGTAGCCCACTGCTCTGATATTCCCAAATGCTGATCGGATGAAGATATTGGACAAGGCTCACATACCTCCATCGCTTTGTGCTTGGGTAAAGCAATATCCAAATAACATTGCAAACGTTATCAAGTTCCAGAGCTTCCGTATCATTTTCTGTCAAACTTCACTTGGGGCAAATCTGAAATGAGAAGAGAAAAAAAAAGTGAAGCTATGACATGCACATGTATCATTCATTCAATAGCAGTCATGTTGTAGAGAACCTCATTCATTTAATCATCAGTCACTTTTAACAATAACAGGATAACTGCTTTGATCTACTGAAAAAAACTATTGCCGTGACTGCAGTTATTGCCCTTCAGATATCTTGAACATGAAATTTATGGATAAATCTGTAAACACTGCCTTTTTATATTTTTTTTTATGTAAAGGTAAAACGTGTCAGCTCCTCAGAAGATGATACAAAGTACTAAAATTGACTGTAAAATGTTATGATAGCTACAGAGAACATCAATCTTAAAATCAAACCTGTCCATTTTCAGATATAGATGTCAGCTTGAAATCTCAGATGCAACTTAAAAGAAAACTAGCCTGAAACACAAGTACAAGCAACTAAAAAAATAACAGAGAGGAAGAGACTACACGGAAATCAAGAATATAGAAAGCAAATATGAAGATTTATCACATTATGGATTTCTCTGTCAAGGGAAACACAGCAATGTATTGATTTCATTGTTGTGCATCCTTCACTAAACATGCATCAGGCTGACATTAGGAGTAATCAAGAATGGACAGTTAATTTATTCTATTCTATGTAAGTGACAAATACAAAGAAAGATATCCGTAGCTCTTCATAATAAATATTGGGACCAGCTAGTTAACTAACACCTATAGTACTTTGACCAAATGTCTACTTTTCCTATGAAAAGCTGTGAAACTACAATTACCTTACACAGAGATACAGTTAAGTTCCAGAGATATACGTTAAGTTAGTTTTTCACTGCTATAATTGTCTGCACATCAATCTCAACAAACATTTGGCACCACAAATCATATTCCAAAAGACATTCTGTCAATAAAAGTGCAAAGCTGCTGTAAAGGGAGGGTCTGACGTTAAGCAAAAGGAAGCAACCCTTCTGCAATGGTATATAAAGGTCCATTAAAATATAAACGTGAATGCATATGTCAGTATGTGCATAAAGCTGGTAGTTATCTCTATTGCAAACCAATCTATAATACAAATAAGTTAATCAGCATACAATACCTGCAAGCATTCACAAGCATGTGGATCTGTGCAGACTGAGCATGCTGAAATGTGCAGCTAAACTGACCGGCATTGTGGGTGGATTAGAGATTGCATTTAATGTACAAGTAAACAGAGGATATATGCATGCGCTTAGGTCTTCCCCAGGGGCGGACTGACAACACATGGGGCTCCCGAGCAATACAAGATTATGGGGCCCCCTGGTGCGCTACCTATATACATATACAAGCCCCACCCACATGCCTCACCTGCTTAAAAATTATTTTGTTACAGAAATTATTTATCCACACTATTTTTAAATAGTGGACCAATTCACTAAAAGATTAATTGCTGGGGAATTGGTAGGATGCTTTAAAAATCTAGACCAATATAGGCAATTTGGAAAGTGAGTTAAATGGCAGAATGCACTGCAGGCCTCAGACCAGCACCAAAGCACTGCAGACCTCAGACCAGCAGCAATACATGGCAGACATCAGACCAGCACCACTGCATGGCAGACTTCCGACCAACACCAATACACAACAGACCTCAGACCAGCACCAATACACAACAGACCTCAGACCAGCACCAATACGTTATTGGATACCTCTTTCCATGCCAGCACATGGGTGAGTGCTCATCTTCAGCAGGTCCAGCAGGTGGCAGCAGCAGACCTGGAGGGTTTCACCAGAAGCAGATGGGGAAGGTCTCAGCAGGGGCAAATGCAGAGGGTCTCACCAGGGGCAGATGCTGAGGGTTTCAGCAGGGCAGATGAGGAGGGTCTCACCAGGGGCAGATGCTGAGGGTTTCAGCAGGGCAGATGAGGAGGGTCTCAGCAGGGACAGATAAAGAGGGTCTCACCAGGGCAGATGTGGAGGTTCTCAGCAGGGGCAGATGTGGAGGGTCTCAGCAAGGGCAGATGAAGAGGGTCTCAGCAAGGGCAGATGAAGAGGGTCTCACTAGAGGCAGATGCGGAGGGTTTCAGCAGGTGTGGAGGGTCTCAGCCGGGCAGATGAGGTTCTCACAGGGGGGCAGATGCAGAGTTTATCACCAGGGGCATATAAGAAGGGTCTCACCAAGGGCAGATGCAGTGGTCTCACCAGGGGCAGATAAGGAGGTCTCACCAGGGGCAGATAAGGAGGGTTTCACCAGGGGCAAATAAGGAGGCCTCACTAAAGGCAGATACGGAGGGTCTCACCAGGGACAGATGCAGGCACTATTACTCCAGTGGGGGGCCCAGAACCGAATCTCAGTGGAGCCCCCTGATGTCTACTCACTATTTTCACTTCCCCCATACTTATGTCTACCCGCGCCCCCCCTTACTTCCCCTCACTTCCCCCAGTACAGAGTAGAAAGATTCAATTGCACACCATACCAGTCCAATTCTGCATCCCCTGTCCGCTCCTTGCCCCACCCATCCTCAATTATCTGAAGTGAACAAACCATTAGGCATTTACCTGTTATACAATGATGGTCCAAATAAGGGTAATTACATCATGATGATGTCATTATGTGATGATATGACATGATTATGTCATCATCACATAACAATAAGCTATTGGCCCATTCTTGCACTGACCGTGTAATATAGAAGATGCCAATCCAGTTGTGGTGCAGATTAGCGGCAGTTCCCTCCCTCAGCTGTAGGCCACCCATCACTCCTGTATGGGGACACCAGCAATCTCTGTGCTCTTTTCGACCACACTGGTGCCAAACTAGTAGAGGTGGCTGTGTTAAAGCGGCGATGACGACAGTGTCCCCCTCACCACCTTTCCAAATCTAGCATTTGAATCTACAATGATATGTATACAATGAGTCTACAATGATATTGTTTCACATCTGTGTAAGAGGCCCCTTGGGCTACAAGCTGAAATAACCCCTTTGGGTGCCTTCTGCTCATTTAGATCAGGTTTAAAGGGCTCTAATCCTTAAAAGTAGATGTATGAAAGTGCTGGTACTTATTACCTGCAGGTAATGAAAGGTAATCCCCTCTATGATCCTCTCATGTTGGATTTGTGTTATACCTGTTACTGCTATTGTTATTGTTGCATTAAGTTCAATAAACCTTTTCTTGGAAAACAAATTTAAAAAGATAATTAACGGCTAACTAGCCACCTTCTGCACCTTGGTGAAAATTAAGCTGGTTCATGATCCATGACTGTGGATGTATCAAAGAAGATAAGGATTAGCATGTGGCATTGCTTAAAACGGTTTTCTTTATTGTAATCCAACAGAAAAAAAGCAACGTTGTAACATGCATTTTAACCGAACTAGTTCTTGCTTAGGTTGAAAAATAAAATCACAACAATGAGCGCTGGATTTAGCATTTGCCACAGTAGCATGTGCCTACAGGTAGTAGAGGAAAACAGGGTTGTTTTCCCTGAATAGTTTTTAGTCACATATTTTTTACATTATCCGTATAAATAGTCATGTCATTAGAGATTATTAATACATTATTACAAAACTGTAAACTAGGTTCAAACTATAACAACAAGTGCATGTTTGTGTATAAGAAGTGATCCTAGAGTGGCCATACCAAGAGTAAAAAAGAAAAAGTGTGCCTACAGGCTAAAGTGATAGAAATGTGGCCCTGACTACCCTTAAATATAAACACACCTTTGTAACCACCATCTTCTTTCACATTCCATCTACAGAAGTATAGTGACCTATGCCTCTGTTGCATAGACACCACCTCATCACATTAAGTGTATATTAATGCTGCACAAAATCTAATACCCAAAAGTAAATATGCACTTTCACTGCTTTGACCACCAACATGCAAATATGTATGATGCATAATAAGACAATGCATATGTCTTAGTTTCCCTTCTTTGCACTACAAGAAGGGAAAGCAAGCAACTCTCCGAAGCGAACTGAAAATGTCAAAAGACAATTCACACAATAACATTGTAGGGTTCAGAAACACCAAATCCTATCAAGTCTCACTAAACATCGCTCTTTCTATTCCAGTGTTCCAGCTGGTGCAAAGCTCTGAGTAATGGTAGCTTGCTTTTTGTTACTATTACTTATCCTACACGTTGCGGATTTAATGCATTTTATGAGGATGCTACCAGTACAATTTAGAAAAAAATGGAGTCGAAGTGGGTTAAATGCAAAGATGTACAGTATATGTTAACCTTGAATAACAATGATAAACATCTTTGTAACATTTAAAAAGGTGTTCCTATAGATTTATGCTGACACTAGTTTGTGTCATCCTTGTGAATACTTGTATATTTCTATTCTATTCTCTATTCAGTTCTATTCTTTTCTTCTCTATTGTGCATGAATGGGATTTATTTAAATCACACATGCTTAGATTATGGTATTCTCAGAAAAAAAAGCATCCATACATGATGTCGTAGCTAGAGATGAGCAAACATATTATATTACGTGGGGAAAAGTGTGTTTTGCTAAGGACATTACGTGATTATTATTTTTTTTTTACTGACCAAATCCCCCCCCCCAAAAAAAAATGTGAGCTTTTTTTGCAGCCATACAGACTAGTGCTTCATTAAAGAAGAACTGCAGGAATTTTACAAGTTTTCTCTTGCAGCGGGGCTACCCCCCTCTGCAAGGGTTATGTGCTCATTTTGTTTAGCGTCAAATTGAGCAAATGTACTCACCTGATTCTCAGTCCCATCAGGCTTCTAGAGAAGTCCCTGCAGCCTGTTCTTCCCAGGGCCCTGGAGGCCTAAGGACCGCTGATGTCATCACGCCTAATGCAGGTCTGACTTGCATTCGACAGGAGGGTGCCAAAAGGATATTCCACAGCCAGAGGGGGAGAGAGCTGACCAAGGATCAGATGAGCATATATGCTTTATTTGACTCTTCTAAACAAGGTGAGCAATCAACCCTTGCAGCGGGGCTGCAACGTTTTAAATTATCCCTGAGTTCTTCTTTAGTAAATATAACAAACAGATGCTAATAATTAATTA